AACCAACCAACCAACCAACCAACCAACCAGCCAACAAACCAACCAACCAACCAACCAACCAACCAACCAACCAACCAGCCAACAAACCAACCAATCAACCAACCAACCAACCAGCCAACAAACCAACCAATCAACCAACCAACCAACCAACCAACGAACTAATGAACCAATCAACCAGCCAACCAACCAACCACACAGGGCCATTCTACCTATTACTTATCAGTTACTGACTCTGGAACAAAAGCTACTCTATCCCTGACTTTTGCAGTAGTTCCTGGATCTTAGTACATTGCAGTGGAAGGAGAACTCATTTGAACTAGGAATGTTGTTATTTTTAAGTGCCGTTGAGTCAGTTCCAAATCATAGCGATCCCGTATAGGGTTTCCGAGGAATGACTGGTGGTTTTGAACCGTTGACCTTGATGTTTGCAACTCAGTGTTCATCTTACAGTGCTACACCAGAACTAAGAGCTGTTTTGTTGTTAGGTGCCGTTGATTCGGTTCCAACTCATAGCGACCCTATGCACAACAGAATGAGAAATACTGCCTAGTCCTGTGTCAGCCTCACATTTTTGAAAAATTCCAGTTTTCCTAGATTCATACTTCATACATTCCATGTTTGCATAGATGTTTGCAGCTCCTTGGAAACCCTATACAGAGTCGCTCTGAGTCGGAACGGACTCAATGGCACACAGCATCAACATCAACATCAGACGTCATAAATGATGCTTTGTAGAGGGTCTGGATTGAGTTATGTTCCTCTAATGAGGGTTGATTTTTGTTCTAAGAGGCGGTTAAATTGACTGGGATCGAATTCCAAATTCTGTCTCTCCTGTGGTAAGAAATAGCTGAAATTGCTCTTTCATTCTTGGAGCTTCTAGCTGCTGCATTTCCAGACTACCTCATCTCTTCCCTGCATATGTACTGCAGTGGCCAGCCAAGGACTGATTATATTAAAGATATTAATAGAATTATTATATGTTATATATTATTAACGTGCAATGAGGAGCTCCGTCACCAACAACACAGAATACCGGACTAAGCCGGCTCAGGGGATGGTGCTAGAATACTGAACCACATAAAGGAATATTTAGAAGCTTGGAAGGCTTATAGCTAGGGAAATTTGTAGCAGAATCAAAAAATCCATTGCTTTCTAATTCAGGATGCTCAGAGTTGCCATCTTGGGAGAGACCAAGTGGGGAAAGTATCAGAACAGCCATGAATGCCTGACAGAACCACAGAGATACAGGTGTGGACATTCTTTTTTTTGGTATCTCTTCACTGGTCTCTTGCTGTCTGAGCACCTCCATTCTGGTAACTAGAGGGGATGCCTGAGCGAATGGACACCCCATCCCCACCCCTGGAGGGTTCTACTATGCATGCGCAGAGATCTCCTCGAAATTAAAATGACAGTTTCCACTAGAAACCAAATGGCCACCACTGGTCTGTCAGTTTGTCATACTGGGGTGGCTTATGAATTGCTGTGATTCTGAAAGCTATGCCACCGGTGTTTTAAATACCAGCAGGGTCACCTATGGTGGACAGGTTTCAGATGAGCTTCCAGACAAAGACAGACTAGGAAGAAAGAGTGACAAACTACTTCTGAATATTTAGTCTGAAAACCTTCTGAATAGCAGAGAAACACTGTCAGACATAGTGCCAAAAAATGAGCCCCTCAGGTTGGAAGGCACTCAAAATGCGACTGGGGAAGAGCTGCCTCCTCAGAGTAGAGTTGCCTGTGATGACGTGAATGGAGTAAAGCCCGTGAGAGAAAAGCCCACAGGACCTTCATTTGCTGATGGTGCACAACTCAAAATGAAGAGAAACAGCTGTAAACATCCATTGAAAATCGGAACATAAAATGTACAAAGTATGAATCTGGGAAAATTGGAAGTTGTCAAAAATGAAATGGAATGCATAAACATCAATATCTTAGGCATTAGTGAGCTGAAATGGACAGGTATTGGCCATTTTGAATCTGATAACCGCATGGTTTACTGTGCCAGAAATGACAAATTGAAGAGGCATGGTGTTGCATCCATCGTCAAAAAGAGCATATCCAGATCAGTCATGAAGCACAACGCTGTCCGTGATAGGATAATATCCATGCGCCTACAGGGAAGACCAATTAATACCATTATTATTCAAAGTTACACAGCAACCACAAAACCCAGTGAGAATGAAATAGAAGATTTCTACCAACTTCTTCAATCTGAAATTGATCAAACATGAAATCAAGATGTATTGATTATTACTGGCGATTGGAATGCAAAGGTTGGGAGCAAAGAGGAAGGACCAGTAGTTGGAAAATATGGCCTTGGTGATAGAAATTATGCTGGAGAACGAATGATAGAATTCTGCAAAACCAATCATTTGTTCATTTCAAATACATTCTTCAGACAGCATAAGCGATGACTATACACATGGACCTCACCAGATGGAATACATAGAAATCAAATTGACTACATCTG